TTGACATTTTGGATCCGTGGCCAGGCAACTCCCCAGATCTCAATCCTAGAGAACCTGTGGTCAGTCCACAAAAGGCGAGTGGACAAGCAGAAGCCCACAAAGTGTGATCAACTCAGAGAACTAATTAGGCAAGAATGGATCGCCATCAGTCAGGATTTGGCCCAGAAGCTAATATCCAGCATGCCAGAGCGAACCGCAGAGGTTATGAAGAACAAGGGTCAACACTGTAAATATTGACTGATTATTTTTTTGCCAATAAAAGCCTTTAAAACTTATATGCGTATCATTGTTTTTCAGTATACCATGGAAACACAAAACACAAATTTTGTCACTGCCAAAACTTTTGGCCATGACTGTATTTATGCTTTAAAAAAAAATTGACCTATGCCCCTGTTTCCACTTGGTATTAAGATGCATTTTCGTCTATCCGATCACAAGTGGATGATGCTAAATACAGTTCTGTCATGACAACTCTCGGAGGGATTGGCATGGTAATGTACATGATAATGTTAATGTATTTGGTCTTGGCGGAATAGATCTGCTACGCTACTGCGGCAGAGCAAGTACCGTGACTTAGTACTGCCAATACATCCACAACATGCTGCTGTGAGCATGTAAGAAATATTGCTGCTGCAAATATAACATACATGAAATAACCCCCATATAGCATACATTAATCACCTCGTAGCAGATCTATACAGGTGGAGCTGGGGAAGTTGGAGTGTTTCTGAAGCAAGCTGCAACTGCTACAGTAAACACTAGTCATATATTTGAATGCTGAGCAGCGAGCTCATTGGCTACCGATACAGGAGAGAACCAATCAACTGTGCCATGTGATAATGCTGTCATTAGGTCAGATTGAGTTAGACCTATCGGACTGCGCCATCTAGAGTTTCATGCCAGAACTCTGTATTTGTAAATGGGGTGTGAAACGTTTTGAGTGTGTCCACTTTTGACAACTTCCAGAGGTAGTCAAAAACACATCCGACCAGATTGGTCGATTAGATAAGCACAATGTTCGCTTAGCCTCCTGATTCTAACACAAACCCACAGTGTTCGGCATAGTTTTGCGGCTATCAGAGCAGAAACAAAAGCTGCTTCTCTCCGTATCGTTTTCCACTTTCTCCTTTTGTGTTCATATTTAAATTGCATGAGCTTATTTCTCAATATTAGATCGATATATCAGAAAAAGCCCATACATACACCTGCCTATAGACCTTTGCCTCGAAGAAATCAGGAAAGTGGACAATAGAGACCGATTAAAATACCAGGTGTAAATGGGAGTGTTTCTTCCTCGTCGTCTACTTGTGATCCCACCAAAATGCATCTTTGTGTCAACGTGTCGAAAGCCTCTGTTCTGGTTTTCCAGTGCAGAACAAGATCGTCTCTGATGAGAGGATGGTGTTGATCAGAGCTGCTCTTTTTAATTACGGCTTTTATACAGCGTTTCATCTTCATTTAGCAATGTAAAAAATATTGCAGATAAAACAGCATCTGAATGATCAGTGTGTAGAAATGTCAAACACTGATGTTCACATGCACTTGATCTGACTTTGCTTTTGTATTTGTATCTTTCTATGTGCTGTTGGCACAAATGAAGAGAGGACTATATCAGTGATGGAGGGAGATGATGTCACTCTAAATTCTGGTACTGAATTAAACAAAGATAAGCAGATAAAGTGGCTGTTTGGAGATATAGGCATGATGAAGGCTCCCATAGCTGAAATCAATGGAGAGACCGGAGAGATCTTTACATATGAGGGTAAGGCTGATGGGAGATTCAGAAACAGACTGAAGCTGGATCATCTGACTGGATCTCTGACCATCAAGAACACCAGCCCTGAACACTTTGGATTCTATGAACTCCAGATCAAAGACTGCAGAGGGGTTGTATACACGATATTGATGGTTTCTGTCAGTGGTGAGTAGTATAATAATGATCAATGGGATAGTTCACCCAAAAATGAAAATTTGCCATGCATTTACTCACCCTCAGGCCATCCGAGATTTAGGTGACTTTTATTCTTCAGCAGAATATTAAAGATATATATATTTTTTTTTTGTGCTAAAACCGTGGTCCTTGTTGATTCATATAATGCATGACAACAGCTACCATCTCTCTGAGAGTCAAAAAAACACGTGAAACAATCTGTCTGATCAAGAAACTGAACATTATTTACAACATTATTACCTTTAATCTACAGCCTCTGCAAACAGACCTGATCGTATTCACAAAAGTCACTTTTTTTTTTACATTTTCAATCATACTTACAGTAACAGGTAAAAATCGAGTAAACGGTATTAGAATTACAAACAACTTTAAAAGTCTTGGGGCCTTTGAATATTATTGTGGACAGTGGTGGGGGGGGGGTAATTCTATGCAATTTTCA